TGACACAGCTATCATGATAGAATTTGTTTAGAGCAGTTTTAGAGATCTATCATGTATCATCTGCCTTCCTACATATGCAGGCAATCCCAAACAGAATAAACCAGTAAATGTTTAAGTCAAACCGAGCCCTAACAAATACTGGTTCATTATTTTCCTGAAAAGGAGACACAAGCGGTCTGACGCGAACAACGATGATTCAATATACCTCCCACATTTTATGACTCAATCGTTTTTGGGATAAAAGAGTCTTTCGAACAATCAGCTCATAAAACCCTTAATAAGTAGCTTGAGTGGCAACATTTTACAGTGACTGTCGTAAATTTTCAATCCCTGGATTCTTAGAATAATAAAGTTTATTTGCACGAAGTATGATAATTACAGGTAGTAGTAATTATAAAAAATAGTCCCACATACATCGCCTACTGTTTTCGGCATGCAACGTTAAGATTTCATTGAATAAGTAGAAAATGCCAACTTGCATTGAGCAAACGTGGTGATTAATGTTCAATCCTTCTCCGAGTGAGAAGAGCCGTGTGTCACTTATAGGTTGTTGGATCCTTATAGACTGGATGATAAAGAGGAATATCCAAATATTAAAGCAAACATATAACATAACATCACCCCATTTTATCCCCGAAGGAGTAGGCAGAGGTGCACACAGAAGTAACACCCACTTTTCACTATTTATGTTATGAGTCCCATGTAATGGGTGAGCCTATTGCCATATACCGGGCTCATTTCCAGACTCCGTGCTACTACTGAGATTTTTTTTAGAAAACCCAGTAATACTTCATAAAGCAAATACATATTAATACACCTTTCAAAATTTTCATTTTAGATGAAATTATGTCTTTCATCGCTAGCTCATGTCAGGTTAACCAATAAACAAGAGCACAGTTAACAAAATTCGGAAAGTTTAAATTGATTCGGTTTCCAACATAATTCGTATGGAAGGTTTGTAATAACCTCAAGCTTCTTTGTGCGTACTGCTAAGGAGTGGAATTCTTTGCCAGAGTTTATATTTCCTGAAGGGTAAACTGGTTGTCTTCAAGGCCCGAGTGAATAGTTTGCTTATGGGACGCCGTGGTCCGTCGTAGACCGCATCTTCGCTTACCACCAGGGGAGATCATGGTCAAACGTCGGCCCATCACTACATCACTACATAATATAAAACAAAGTCGCTATCCGCCGTCTGTCTGTCCCTATGTATGCTCAGATCTTTGAAACTACGCAACAGATTTTGATGCGGTCTTTTTTAATAAATAGAATAATTTTTAAGGAAGGTTTATACGTATAATACGTGCATATTGCACCCGTGCGAAGCCGGGGCGGGTCGCTAGTCAAATATAAAAAAAATCCTCATATGTGTAAGGTACCTACGTAGTTCGTAAAAACCTGTGGACGTTACATTTGTTTGAATAAAATGAAGAAATAACAGACGCAATTTGCGAATGACTTTTTAAACATTTTTAATCCTCTAAAAAGTTCGAGAAATTCTCGTTCAACCATTTCAGTGTAACAAAGAATGTTGCGCGAAGAAAAAAATTTGTGACACGTAAAAAGCCTTTTAAAAGTACGACCCGAAAACGGGCATGCATTAAGGAGTCAAGATCTTGTATTTTGTAAACTGTTAAAAACCACACATCAAGCTAAACAAAACCAGTTTATAATGACCTCGCTTTATATGACCTTTCCGCACATTCAAGGGTCTGTTTATACTGGACATGTAGAGCTTTATGAGTAGTCGTGTATCCCTAAACGTAAGATGCTCGCCTTGTGAATGCTTCGTCGTCGTTCAAATTAAAACACGTTCCCTTTTTTCGCTATTTTTTCCTTCACTGAGAGTGGGTCAACGTCAACAGTTGATTACAAAGAGAAAGTAATATGTAGGCAGAATGTCTTGTCTACTTGTTTGAAGGGACAGGTAATGTGCGCAGTTAACAGTGATGCTTAGTGTTATCCTTAGGACTTAGTTGGTGTCTGTGTAATAGGGATATGCTTAGTAATAGGGATGATGAGAGGGTATGAAAATTAAAAATCTAATCAGTCCGCCAGTTAGGTAATGAAAAAATATTAGACACGTATTTTTTTATTTTGTCGTTTATTAAAAACTATACTTAGATAAAACGAATTAAGTTTCGGAGTGGGGGCTAAAACGTCATTTCTACGTATAAAATGTACATAGAAGTGACGTCACGCGACATTTCAAATCAATACATCGTCGAAAGTATTCGTTTCTTTAAAAAATAAAAAATACGTGTCTAATGATTTAAAATAATCTACCAAACGGGCATTTAAATAAAAATTAGGCATCAACCCTATTCTTAGTGTTTCTTTTAAAGATTGTAATTATTACAAAATCAAACAGCTAATAGCATCTTTCACCTAGTTTCACCTATCTAGTATCTACACAGTAGATGTCACTGTAAATATTTTTTACTAGATTTTGTTTGGTTTTTCAAACATTGTCAGTTAAAGTACGGAATCTAGAAGGTTATCCGAGTCTTTCTCAATCATCAAAACCTAGTCTATCGGGTACCTAAAGGCCAGTAATAGACCTGTAACTCTTTAGATGTTACGGGCGTCTAAAGACGGCGCTGATTGCCTACAATCAGAGGTTTCATCCGCTCATTTACTGCCCTATTCTATAAAAAAAACTACAACACTATCGAAACCCGTACACAGCAGCCCAATCTTATAGAAAATACCATCTTTTTTTTTAAGGGGGGAAAATCATCGAATGACTGCTCCCGCCTGGGTGAGGCGGAAGGGAGTGTCAGACTCTTACTGACTAAAAACCACCCCGTTCCTTCTCCTGCACGTCGAGCCAGAGCCCCGGTTACCCGTTAGGTTCTCCGCGACAGAAAATACCATCTTGAACGCTCTCATCTTCCATGTTTCAGAGAAATGCAAGGCTTTCAATGAGGAGTACGTCTGCCGCTATGGCTGTGAGCTCCGCTGCGACACCCGCGCCTGTATACGACCACGGACATGTGTGCTGGGCTGCCATTGCAAAATAGGGTTCCTAAGGGACACCGCTACCGGAGTTTGTGTCACCAGGGACAAATGTAGCAATAGTATTGACAAGACCAATAGGACTGTTGATTTTAAGAATTAATGTAACATTATCGATTTTTTTAAGTAGGTATAACATTCTGACCTTACATTTATTGCAAAGACGCTTATGTTATGTAGCGTATCATATTTGAATCATTAACAGGAGGCCTAATTCCCCCCCCCCCCCCCCGCCTTCCCCAATCCCTGAGTACCAAAGGATCATCAAATTCCTAATTCCGAAAACGCACTTGTAACACCTCTGGTGATCCAGGTGTCCATGGGCTGCGCCGTTTGCTTACCATCGGGTGACCCTCGTTTACCGGCTTCAAAATTTTTTTTTTTCGTGTTGGAAACCCATGCTTTTGTATGAATAAGCCAGGTCCACCAGACCGTAACGCACTTGCAACTATAATGTCCATTGGCGACGCTAATTGCTAACCATCGGGGACCCAGTTCGTCCCTTAACCAATAAAAAAATTACACACGAGTATGCATTTGTAATTTTTTTACTTAAAGCAATCTTTGTGTTTCAAAGTTTACCTAATTTTATCGTTTATGTAAAAATTGTGACGTTTAGGTATTGTCCTCCATATCATTTGCCATTCTTCATCCTTTACTTTCTACCTATCATTAAAAAGTAACAAGATCACAATTATAGTATTGTATCACTACATACATAGTATAAAACGAAGTCTATCCGCCGTCTGTCTGTCGCTATGAATGCTTGGATCTTTAACGCTACGCAACGGATTTTGATGCGGTTTTTTTTAATACATAGCACTTCAGGAAGGTTTATATGTATAATACATGCATATTGCACCCGTGCGAAGTCAAGCAGTAGTACTTATAATATTGCTGGGCTAATATGGATCAAATTCGGCAGGATAAGAATTAATTAAGCACCCGATCACAACATTTGTAAGTAATTAGATTAATTAGTAAGTAGGTATTACGTAATGCAAGTAAAACCGGGAGTTTTGTGTTAGTTTATGAGATATTTATTTATGTTAGTGTGGAATGTGTAGGTATGTAATTGTGTATGTTTGTAGTGTAATTCTGGCTGTGTATTTTATTTTTTAAGATGTACCTAATTTTTTCTCTATAAGTTTAGTTCAACAATCAATTAATTATAAGAGAAAGAAATACAGTATAACACACCATCACGCTCACGCCTTTTGCCCAATGGGGTAGGCAGATTTGCATTATTATGGCACTTAATGCCACTGTGCAATGTAAAAGCCATTTTCCGCTATTTATGTTATGAGTCCCAAATATACAGTATTTTATTAATAAATAACTATTTTATATTTTTATTATGTAAAAATAAATAAAAAATCTTATGTAAATATAACAGTTTTATTTTTCCTTATTTTTTATACCACATCGGTGACAAAAAGCACACAGTTCACCTGACGGTAACTAAATAAATATGAAGGGTCAAAATTGGTGATGAGACTATCATTTCTGAGATATATCATTAAAAATACAGAAAAAAAAGGTGAAAAATATTAACAAAAATCGGAAACAAAATAAAATTCAAACAAGCAAAAGGTTCTCTCCGGCGGGGAATCGAACCCCGGTCTCCCGCGTGACAGGCGGGGATACTGACCACTATACTACCGAAGATGGTGAAAGAGCAGTTAAAATAAGCAAGTACAACATGCAAGATGTTAAAAGTTCGTTTAGAAATTTTAATGTTAGAAATGTATTACTAGTTTTACTTTATTTTATGCATTATAAATATTGAAATAAAAGAAATATGTTCACAAAATAAATCTTTGTTGTGTTTTCGTTTGTTGCAAATAATTTAAAATATTTTTGTAATTCATTCAGGGTGTTGTTACTTTCTCGACGAACAGATTTGTGTCATTACATTGGTAGTTGTTTATAATTTGGGAAGCTTGGGTTTCATTAATGAAAATTAATGATAACAAAAACCAAAAATGAGTGAAAAACTAAAAGAATTACGTGAACGATCACAAAAACGCAAGAAATTGCTTGCGCAAACTGTAAGTTGAGGTTTTTGTTGTGACATAACCTAAAATTGTACTACGGTTTGTGGAATATTTATAGGAAGTATTTCCGTGTTTTAGCTTGGTGTTTCAAGTGTGAGTGAGTTAAGGCAGGCTTTAGGAGCTACCTTAGATGTTCCGGCGAAGAAACAAGCGGTGCCTGGTGGTGGAAATGAAGGAGGTGACAAACCGACAGTCAAAGACCAACCTGATGAACTGGTTTACACTGATTCTTCTACTTTCTTGAAGGTATATTGTTTCAGTATACGTTATACTATCTACTAAAAGTATTTAAATGATTGTTTATATGATTAAAAGCTGGTACATATGTAAAATTAAAAAAAAATTGACAAAACTTAATAATTAGCAAGCATTACCTTGCTCCGTTTTTTTGTTTGGGTCAAATCTTGTAATTGGAATTTTACCTCCTTCCTGACGACAGTTCGATCTGATACTTGGTGCATACTCTTTATCTTGATAACTGTATGCATACCGTTTAACATAAAAAGTATTTTTTATGTAATACTTGTTACTGGTTTATTGACTGGTGATTGGTAAGTGACCCTGGTCAATGGGTTTATTAGGAGTCTTCATCTTTTGCTCGTAGTTGTAAAATATCTATGTATAGATTTTTTATGGGATAAGCCTGTAAAGCAGTTGGATTATCTGATGGTAAACAATTGATGCCGCCCATTGAACCTGAAACACCAGAGGTGTTTGAAATGCGTTACTGGCTATTAGGGTTAGGAATTTGAGAATTGTTGGGGTTTCTGGGATTGCCGAGATTGAGGAGTAATTGGGCTTCCTTTAACCTCATTCATACGTCACAAAGTAAGCTTTATTTTATGTCGGTTTTCTGTGAGGAGGTGGTATCATTCCGGTCAAGCCGGCCCATTCATGCGGAACCTTGGCTCTCCCACACTTACCATTTTTTTGGTTATATTGAATCATAAATGTATTTAGTTAATAAGTATCCTAAAGAACATGTATGACCTTTTTGTAGAGCCATTTACTCACTTTTAATCTGTCAAACACCAAGCGGTCACCGGTGACCGCGACCTATTGTTCTTTAATTGTGTCTATAAAACCGGTACTCGACGAGTTAATTAAGAAACAATATTACTGATAACATTGTCATTACAAAATGTTTAACTATAGAGAACAAGTTATATGTGACCAAATCACATTTTTGTAATAACAAATCATGTAACATCATGCCCGTTATTTCAAACAAATAATGATTTGCTTACAATATACCCTTACGAACATTTGCCACTGGGTATGCTGGAATCTAACCATAATTATACGCAGAAATGCTTACAGTAGTACTGTACCAAGCATGTAATATCTTATCTTATACCTACTTATTATGTCAACCTGAAGAATTAGTCTTGAACATGGTAATCTCTGGAACTATTTGTCTGAATTTAATAAGTCCTTTTGTGTTAGACCGTCTATTTATTGAGTAAGACCGATAGGAGCCAAGCAGAGCGGGTGGAAATGCGCTGAAGTAGAAAGTATAATAATAAATTAGTATTCTAATTATCTCCAGGGCACACAATCATCAAATCCCCACAATGACTACTGCCAGCATTTCGTAGACACCGGTCAGAGACCACAGAACTTCATCCGGGATGTGGGGCTTGCTGACAGATTTGAGGAATACCCTAAACTCCGGGAGCTAATCAAGTTGAAGGATGATTTGATAGCGCAGACTGCTACTCCTCCTATGTATTTGAAGTGTGATTTAAAGGTAAGCAGGATTTGTGGTTCTTTGTGTTGCAAAAGTAAAAGTTTGTTATAAGTAGATACATGTAACTCTGTAAGTTTGGCGTTATTGCATATTCTCATTATATTCACATTCACATATAAGTCTATGTTCTATCTACCATCTTCAAAGATCTAAAGTTCTAAACACATCCTAAACATGTTTTTCCAAAAATGACTTTAGAGAAGTAAAGATTAGTTTCTCGAGAACTGTCATGCATCATTAAATGCATTTTTCCTTACACAAGCTCTATAATACTTCATGTTGTTTCCAGACATTTGACCTGAAGCAGATGGGTAACAAGTTCGACGTGATCCTGGTGGAACCCCCTCTGGGCTCCGGTTGGCGTTGGCAGGATGTCCTGGCTCTGGACCTGCAACAGATTGCTCAGGCTCGATCGTTTATATTCCTGTGGTGCGGAAGCTCAGAAGGTAACATCTTTGTAAGAATTTATGTAATCGATAGTCTCATTAATAGTTTGCCCAACCTGGAATTGAACCCAATTGTCTTCATTGACTGTAGAGTAGAGGTATTGAAGTAAATTTTGCAAAGTCTACAATTTTGGCAGGTATCTACTAAGTGCCAAGCACGAATAACTATCGCATACGTAATGTAATAGTATCAAGCGCGTTCGGCGCTTTGATTGGCTGGCTCCAGTGAATCAACCAATCAGAGCGACGAGCGTTTTAACGAAACCTTAACCACCAATTTATTTTACCCTATTTATTTACCAGGTCTTGATATGGGCAGAGAATGCCTCAAAAAATGGGGTTTCCGTCGCTGCGAGGATATTTGTTGGATCAAAACTAACATTAAGAATCCTGGACATTCCAAGAACCTTGAGCACAATGCGGTGTTCCAGAGGACGAAGGAACATTGTCTGATGGGCATTAAGGGCACAGTTAGGCGGTCGGTGGACGGCGACTTTATACACGCCAATGTTGACATAGATCTGATCATATCTGAGGATCCTGAGTTCGGAAGCAGTGAGAAGCCGATTGAGATATTCCATATCATGGAGCATTTTTGTTTAGGGAGGAGAAGGTAATTATTGAGGAATGTTTTTTGGGAGACTGAAATCTCTCTAGCCACATTCATGTATAACTCTATACATAAGTTGCATGCAAGATTTATTCTTTCTATGACACTCTGGATACAAGCTACAACTGGAACTGCTTCTTCAGTTTTGCTTGGTCGTGAAATGAATTAATGAATTTTTTTGCTAGTTTTTCATCATACAAATCTATATCTTAGAACTAGATTCATTCACTGATAGACAAAAGAAACTGACAATTCTGTCTTGATATCTGTTTCTGATATTAATTACCTTGTTTCCATCTTCCAGAATCCACCTATTCGGGCGCGACTCCACGATCAGACCAGGCTGGGTCACTATAGGCCATGAGCTGACCAACTCCAACTTCAACGCTGAACTGTATGCTTCATACTTTACAGAGGGTCGGGAGAGTACTGGATGTACTGAGAGGATCGAGGCCCTCCGGCCTAAGAGCCCTCCCAACACTAGTAAGGGGGCGCGGCCTAGGGGCCGAGGTGGATTTAGGGGGAGGGGTCGAGGAAGAGGAGCGCTATAGTGCTTGGTTAGTAGGGGGTAAAACTGGTAGTATCATTTTGACGCTGGAAAATGGGCGAAGATGGTCCATCATCAGAATAAGGTCCACATAAAGGGGCTTTGATGAGACTCGGAAAGAGAATGAGTAAGAGATGAATGGGGTATGTACTTACTCCTTTTAGTGGGATCGGCTCATGCAGCTGAAATAATACCTGGGTCGGGCCAGATTTGTTGCTCTTTCTAAACAATGTTAAGAAAGTGCAATGTACTACATTTTTATCTTCGACAAATATAGAATTATTTTATTTTTATACTAGATAATGAATATAAGAGTTGTATAGTGATGAATTTGTATTGAAACAAAATTGTTGTTCTGTCAATATCATGAATATTACTTGTTGATATTTGTTGTCCTAGATTTCTAAAGGTGGGAACCCTGGCTGGTTATTACTTGGTTAAACTCTGACAAAAGTACCGTAATATCATGTGATGAGGCTAAAGAAGTATGTTAGATCTATGTGACGCTCTGTAGTTTTTATCTACTGCCGCACATTCTATATACGTTCATGCTAAAATCTATTTTATTTTGTAAGAAATAAAAGTAACTTTTGTACCGTATCTATCTGGCATATTAAAGTTTATATTTTATGTAAGAACAATAATTATACATCTAGAACATTTTGTAACTACCAATTATCATGTCTAAGCGAAATGTTTGAAACCTACTCCTGATTTAATAAATTTAAATAAGGCGTATAAGTCTGTGGACTAGTAAAACTTCATTGACGATATTTTAATTTACGATGAGCCTCAATGGGTACAGCATGTTATTGCTTGTTATTGTCATTTGCTGTATGTAATATAACATGAATACTAATAAATTATAGAGGTTTTTAGTGCATATTTTCTTATGAGAAAGCTGTTACATAAAATAATTTGTTGCGAATATATTTCGATATGGTACCAAGTCCAGCAGGGTGTTTGACTAATTATAATGTACTACGTATTTAGTTTATAAGAATTACAATGAGTATTTTGTGTATTGTGAATTAATAAACATGTTTTTGATGAAAATTTGTCTCTAACTCACATAATTCAAAGCACCCCAAGACTCGAACCCGTAACATAACATCACGCCATTTATCTCCGAAGGGGTAGGGAGAGGTGCACATTACAGCACTTAATGCCACTGTACAATGTAACACCCACTTTTCACTAATTATGTTATGAATCCCATATAATATGAGGTGACCGTGAGTGTATTGCCATATACCGGGCGCATTTCCAGACTCCGTGCTACTACTGAGGTTTTTACACCGAACCAGAGACCCCTTGCCCGGTAGTCGCAATTCCGACCACTCGGCCAATGAGGCAGTCAACCCACTTGTTTTCATATACTTACCAAAGCATCCAGCCAAACCACTATCTCAGCATACTCACAATTAAACACAGCTTTCTTGAAGGGTAAAAATGAAACAATCAAATTATATACATCCATAAGTTTTATTTTACATTGATTGTCTTTAAATCAACTAATCTGCTTCTCAAAATAATTATAAAAAGACAAAACAAAAAAAAATAAGGTGATGAGATCTTTTTACTAAGATAAGAAATAATTTACAGTGTATTACTTTACTGTGAAACTAAGAATTTCTTAAGATTTATAAAAAAATTATATTCTTTTAGTTTCATTATTTGCGGAGAGGGCTTTACCAGTGTTAAGGAAAATCGATCGCAAAAGCCCCCTGTGCTCGCTACGACTTGTCGCATTTGCAATTAATAGAACGACGTATCGGTCATAGTTCCTTACAATTGATTAACAATATACAAGAAATACTACATATCCGTGACAGTCGTGTTCGTATCTTCCAAGAACATGTCGCTGACTAGCCATCTTCGTGTCATTCGTGTTGCGCCTAACGCAGAAAGTGCTTCGAGAATGTAATTTCCTTAATCTCTACATTAAATTGTGACAAAAATCGATTTACTTAGTCATATCTGTAAAATAGCTACATTATACTGTCGAATTGACAGATAAATGTAAAGATATTGACAGAGATATAGGTACTGTGTATTTATATAACTGCGTTTAGTCGCAACATGAATGGTTGAACCAACGAACCAATAAAGCCCTTTTCGCCAGTGTATCCAATTGACAGTCATCTTTACTGAGCCTATCGAACATTGTCAAAGTCTTATTATATTAGATAATTCATTATTCTTTTTATATGTTACCATATTCATTATACAAACAAGGCATTATTCTTTCATACTTGTTGCGGACGTAGGCGCGTTCGAAATTATAACTAAAACTGGATAATAGTTATTATTGTATATGCGTATTGTGTTACTGCCGGTGACAACGCTAGTAAATAAGAAAAAAATACAGTCGAATTGAGAAACTCCTCCTTTTTAATGAAGTCGGTTGAAAAATGGTACAGATAGACATTAAAATAAAGGGTTTTCTCTCCATAGGATTAAGTATGCACATTTATATGCTGTCTATATAGAATAGCATTAAGTAGAAAAAGGACATTACATGAAATATAACAGAATTATAAAATAAAACGTCATCATATTCAGACTTGAAGAAAAAACAAATAAACGCGTTCACATTTTAGGATGCCGCCTAAAAAGTAAGGAAGAAAATAAAGTAAGAAATCAGGAAAACAGTCCTGTAGAAGTGTGCAATAGTGACGGCAAGAAATAGGCATGTCAGGGTGCCTGGGACCTTCGATCCGGTCATCCAAAATTATTGGTTATGAAGATTTAAAATACGTGAGTTTTGAGCCTTTGGAGGCTATTGCTTGTCATCAAACGTTGTCGCCTACGACCGCAACATACAGCGACACCCTTTAAGTATAATCCTCATAAGATCACATTTTTTTATAAGGCAAACAACAATCTTTAAAGCTAAACCTTTGATGAGGGGAGAGGGGAGGTCGAGCGGTTAACCGATAACGAACTTTCGTGCGAATACAATAAAAACAAAATCGAACGTCTACCACTTTCCTGGAATGGGGGTAATTTTAATACTAGAGGTGGCTGTTTATCCAAATATTTTCATTAAAAAATATTATATTTTTATTGGAGAATAAGTTAATGACTTAGTCCGCTCCGTCTATCTGAGACGGATGAAACTAACAACTCCTAAATTTGTACTTGATGATATATACGCGTATATTAACCTCCGGACGCCAAATAGATTGTAATTCGCTGCTTATATAAAATTTAGCACAAAAATATTATATAAAAAAACAGTAATTTAGAATTTCACCATCCTTATTTACAAATCGGAAGTTAAAATGACGCATAGAAATTTTAGATTAAAAAAAATATTACTGAGCCAAATACATATACTTAACAGATAACTAGAAATCTGAAGCGATACAATTAAAAAATTACAAACTAATTAATGAAAAAAAAACAAATTCATGACACTTAATAAAAACGTTTTTAAACTGGAAGCTTCGTGTGACTCCGTCTTAGCCGTATAAAGAAATTAAAATCGTAATGCCTAAAAGAATCAAAAAAAGAAAATATTTTTTGTCATTTCGAACTTAAGCAGCTCTGTTCGTTTCTATGACGTTATTTAAACCTATCTAGACACGATCTAACCTAACTACAATAACCATTGCTTACGTACTACATTACACTTCAGCGAGTTTGTCCAAAATGCCATCCATCACTTCGCCTCACATTCGCATTACTTCCAAACCATAGTAGGCCAGAGCAGCGAGACATGTTACTTGTCACTCACGGCATGTACCACATGTACACATTCCCAATCGCGCGCCATCGCAATGAAACATCCGTCATACACTAGGGGAAGTATAAAACCTAGGCTAGGCAACATATGTCCACTCGATACACTCGATTCGCCTGCAAATCACTCTCCGCATCGAATTACTGGCATTTGCGATAAACCCGTCACAACAACTGCACTCCGGCCCAAACATATTGCACTACACTTGGGTATCCGTGTCTCAGACTCCGTGCAAAGTGCTCGAGCCGCCATCCACTACGAAGCCCTATATCACAATAACCGTGAACTCTCCTAAACGTCATAGAAACCTAAACGAGAAATGGTGTTATTTCATTCTTTTATTTCAAACTTAGCTCTATGCCTGGTATTATTTTACATCGAGAAGGCTGAATCCACCCTAAGTATAGTCAGTTCAGTCACTAATTCAGATATAAAAACTTTTGAAAAACATGTGATGGGTAGGTAGCAGCAAAATTAAAACTAAATAAAATTCGTGAAAGCTAATAAAATAACAGAACGAAGTAAACACCTGGTTTAGACATTATTCATTTCTCTCCATTGCAAATGGACCAGCCATAGACAACGCTCAATATGCTTTTGTCAAATTGATAAAACTTTTTAAAGGCGCTAGGTTGTAAGACAACCTACTTATTTAAAAACAGATCTCGATTAACCACTAATGTATCGTAACAATAATATTTACAATTAAATAAAAAAAATCGGCTTTTCATCCAACTTTTTAAGACACAGATATCGTCTGCAACTGATGCTAGGAATAGAGATTTTACTTTCTAGGATTCATAGTTGTTAGGTCAACGAACTTCCATTGTTACTACTTCTTGTACAGAAAGCATTGCGTTAGTTTGTCATACATGTGAAACAGCACTTGTATCATCTTTTCAAACAACTTCATATGATTCCAGAAGATAAACATCTCCATTCGTAGTCCAAACATTGGTTGTTATTAGTTTAACATACTTCAATTGCAAAAACACAAAAAACACATTGCATATCAGCAAATCAGTTCGAATATTCCAGGCTTTACAACCTTTCCAATGCCAACAAACACATATAAATAATGCTAAAACATTGAAAATATTACAGGCTATTTTATCCTTCAATTTATTTTAATGAAATCGCTATTATAATGAAATCTGTACATTTAATTGCTAATAATAATAAATCAATTTACACCAATCACAGATATACATTTTTGTGTGCACTGAAAAGGTCTCAAATCATACGAACGCACGAAAACTCGTGTTGTCTCCCTCGCACACAGCGTAGAGAACCATTCTCTTAGAAGACCTAGTATTTGCAACCATTTGTACTTTTCGCAAGTGACCACCCTAGCTTTAACCATCAAATTAATGTTTGTATTCCATTTCTCTCACACAACATTCAAATTAATAACATTCGTTAACGACACGGTAGAGACGGTGCAATGTATTGGAAATAAATATAATAGTGTATGTATTACTAGGTACATATAACAATTAATATTATGTATTACATTTTAATCTTAGTTCAGGTAACGGACTAGCCGAGGGTCAAAATTTAAGGTTACTAGGCCTTCAGTTCCTTTCATAAAATTGTGTCAAGTATCAAACTTGTTTTTTGGAAGTTTTTTTTCTACTAACAAAGTGTCTACTGTGATATTTTTGATACACATTTGTATGGAGCATGTATTTTGTATTGAAGGAAGGATTGTTGAAGCTATTGAAGGATTTATGACTATGTTTAAGTATTACTTGAATTATAGGGTCTATGTAAAATGTGTATCAGCAAAGGTCACAGTATTCACACCAAGCCTAACAAAATTTTTACATTTATGACGGCAGTTAGTGAGATCTTTCGAAAGTATACAAAAAAACATTAAAAAAACTGTCCGTCAATGGACTTAGTCGAAATGGTGGGAAAATCTGCCTCGCACACACGGCATATTGTAGTTCTTTATCAATAATAAAAAAAATACTTATAAATAAGTGAAGCCGACATTTATATGGTACAATGTATGAAATAAACAGACAATTTCTCTTCAATATATCGGTCAACAATGAGGCCGGTTAACCAAGATGATTTATTATCAAATTAAAAAGAAATAAGAGCACCTAGAAATTGGTTCCTTAATATGTTTTTTACATTTTCAAGTCATTTCAAAGACATTGACTAGGTACGTCTAGAATAGTGCAACGGTGACGTTTATAGAGACAGTTGTAACTAAGTTATAATTTTATTGGAACTCATTGACCCTTGTCATATCGCTGAGGACTATTAAATGAAACAACAAACTGTTCTCTACGTATTTCAATAAACACGTTGAATAACCGTCACCATTCCACCTTACATTGATAATGAATTCTAAATACATAAATTCAACAGACAATATTATTTCTCAACTATTCAAGCGAGTCACATTGCTTTACCATCATCAATAGAACCCATTCCTAAACAGAAGTGATCTAAGAACATCTAACCATCTGATTCACCGGTAATAATTTCAGTCTGTTAAAAATTCGGCAGAATACGCTATTAACTCTTTGTATAGTCTATGACATTAAAAAGTACAAATTGTTTATTCACTGAAACACATCTATGACAATGGCCAAAGCTTACAATTAAAAAAAATACCGAGAAATGTACTTATCAGTCATAAGAGTTATAACAAGAAACATACCTTGTGACCATAGAATTTAAAGTCGATACCTTCGACGGCTTGTGAACGGGTGAAATGAAACGATATCTCCCATACGTCGATACGTCGACGCAGTTGTCCATTCAGCACACTATTATTATCACAAAAACTTGTTTTTTTTTATCCAAACCGTACGTTTAGTCCGTCGGTACGCGGCAATGGCACAACCCGCTCATTTTTGTTAAATATCTACACATTTTAGACACACATAGAGCACTACTTGTTCAGTAAACATCACTAGGATTGAAGGTTATAAGTGTTTCGGCACCGTGTTACAAGTTCAAGCCTTTGCCAGTAGGGTGGGAGTAAAGCGGGGTTTATTTATAGAAGTGTGGAGAGGTCACCGAGGGCCCGAGCCAACCTCACAAGTATGTCGATTCACCTGAAAATGTAAGAAACCCATATAAGCATTTGAACGATTACATATGCCACGGACAGATTCACATTTGTTTGAATTTCAAGGCTTTCAATAACAAATAACACTTAAATTCAAGCAACTTTACACGTAAAAGCATTTGATTAAAATTATGATAACAGTAACAAAGATTATTTAATGATAAATTAAAGCCGAAAAATTCAAACAAATGATGTAAATATGTTTTCTAAACGCCTTATTTACTATGAAGGAATAAAGAAATATAAAAAAATAACAAGAGGCGTTTAAAAAAAAATCCGTATGTGGCGTGTGTGATGCGTTCAAACTGTGCAAAGCGAGCAATGTACAGCGAATGTATGTTAGGGACATGTATGTACACCGGGCGGAAAATCTGTGACACACAATTTATTGTCTCCCATATTAAGTACATATTAAATTTGTTGTGTTTCTGACACTATACTCATATTTAATGTAAACAATAGCCATTATTTTCTACAATCATATTAGAAAAGAAGCAGTCAGAGTTTCCGCCGGGTGTTAAATGAATTTAATGTAATTTAATATAGTATGAGGTAATATGAATTCGTTCGCAATATGTACACATAACACAATCCACACAGAGGGAGTTATGATGAGCAGTCAAGACCATTATTTTCAGTTTAAAAACTAAAAATAACGGTGTAAAATTACTAAACTTTTGTCCAAAACAAAAGTGCAGCAGAAAAATTAGGGACAAAACAGCATTCATATACGATTAAAGCATGCACAAGACGAAATTAAAGCACAAAATTAGTGACATCTTGAACGTTATTAACACAATATTTACAATGTAAAATAAACTATAGCTTCCAAATTTTAAGAATGAGTTTTGATCAAATCAAAAAAGATTTAAAAGACATTGTTAACATTCAAGATTTCACACACAATATAATTATGCATAAATAAAAGGACGAACACATTAGAAAAACGGATATTAGAACAAGAAACATGTAGAAATGATATAGACAGTTACACACACAGCGAACGAGCGAACGATCCTATCGTGACGATGCGGTGGTACAAGCGATGAACGAACTTGTGAACGATATTGAACGAAATAAAGCTGCTTGCCTTAGCCTGGTTGACTATTTATAAGGACTAACAGAATAAACGAAAGACCTTGCAGATGCTAATTCGGGCTTAATTAAAACTGAATAACGTTTAAAAGCAATAAGCAGTTCATGATATACTCATAAGAGTTCCAATATAGCACGAAAGTAGTTGAGTAACTCGAATAGTTATCTTGAGTAAGCCGTGTATAATTATGCAAGGCTCTCTTTAGTTATTGAACAATTATTGAACCAACACTTGGAAATCCGGGAATAAAATTAAGATTTTCTTACATTACTGTGAATATTAAACAACAGTGAATTTTTTGAACTAGCACCTGGAAGGTCTTGAAGTATTTTATTACACCTTGTACAACAACTATAGAAAAGGAAACAAGGCGATTTTAATGGTAAGTCATAAACGGATCTTATATCTATATTTCCATTTCCTATAGTGCTATCGACTATAGACAGTCACCTTGGCTAAAGCATCTGATGTTTATTGTGAAAGCCGAGCAGTCAGTGACAAAACGTGCTATACAAATACAGCAACATAACGCAGTTTCATGATACGCAAATGAGGTGTAAAGAAAAATAGTCTTTATTTCTATGTTACTTAATCTATATTTTAAAAGAGTTTTCGTTTCTCTATACGGGATGTAAATATCTGAGCTTACTAAGTACTAGGGGATAATTCTAATAAAATGTTACATTTTGTTAATTTTGGTCAGGATGTCAGTCACATATGGAAGTTTTATTGAATATATGACTAGCAACATTGCTTATACACCAAATCTAAATGAAATTTGTCTGAGTAGCTACTATTTTCTAAGTAGATACTTAATTTAAATACGCTTCTAACTAGCATATCGGTCATTTCTATGAATATTCTCTATAAAAACTCACTCTAGACTGACTTTAAGTGAGAAATATTGTCATTGGTGTATAGGTAAATCAGTCCGCGGAGTGAATATGGTGGTGTGGAAGCGTGCGGCGATGTGTATGTGTTGGATAGTTACGTGTGCGGGTGGCGCGGCGACAGCGGGCGGTAGTGGCCCACGCGGCGGCACGCGCGCCCTGCACAGGACACACTCACTGCACCCGCCTCACTGACACGACTCACTACACTACAGTTCACACCGGCGCAGACTCAACCATAATACATTTTGGCCATATCTCCACAGAGTACATATTAGGTTGTAACTTCGAAAATTTTAACTAGACGTTAACGAATATGCACAAATGCGCACACATCAGTGAATACGTTTTTTAAGGGTTTTTGCTTTGATGCAGTTTGATTCAGCGCCCGTATAAACTGACCCTAAGAGGTGAAATTAATAACCAATCTTATAATAAAATCTTTGGTTTAAAGATCAAATTTTGACATTAGTTCCATTGAATTTCTATCAAAAACGTAGATCGATCCATAGATTTTGTATTAAGATTAAGAAGTTATTAATTTGCAATGTGTAAGTCGTAGATGTAAGGCTAGGTGTAACGTACTTATTTCTTCTTCAGAGGAGAAATTCAACTAATTTTATGTTGTGCTAAGTGTTCAGAGGATTTTATTTCTGTTACAAATATATGGAATTGTTCAAGATTTTTTAATATTCAGATCTTTAGCCAAACGCCACTTTAGCGCTTGTCTACAGACAGAGTAGAAAACAAAATGTATGGGGTGCCACAGACAAGTGTCAAAATTCACGTCAATTCCATATACATAATTTGGTTTTCTATTCTACATGTAGAAAAGTGCTAAATGGCATTTGGATAGTAACGGTGATAAAAATCACATTATTTTGTTTTCACGAACCTAACATAAAATTAGTTGACTTTCAATAAGATGGTCTTTGAATATCATGTCTTATTGCAAATTGTAATGTCTACTTCACTTGGCTTTCAAAATTAAGTGATTTAATATGATAATATGGAAAATCAAATCAAAATAAAAGTACAACTAACTTGTACCTAAATTAACTAAAAATTGTGGGTACTCACGTGAATATACTGAGATAAGTTCTACTAGTTTAGTTTAGTCATGAGCAGCGTGCGCGGCTGCGGCGATGTAGGCGCAGTCTACTGAGGAAGAACTCCTCTATGGTTGGAAACTAGTAGAGCTTTTTTGAGTATATTCACGTGAGTAACCCGCGATTTTTAGTTATTTTTGTATGTCTCACGATAGTTATTATAAAAACATAACGTGTACCTATCATATATCTTGCATCTTACTCAGTGCAAAGAATGTTAATTTCCTAATTACCACCTCATTTTATTTCGATGATTCTTTGGACGAATAGAATATGGTTATTTGATGTCTGTAGAAATTATATTAAAAGCTGAGAGAAACATTTTAATCTTTTGGAATCCGATCTAATGGCTTTTCATTTCAAAATGATCTTACATTATTTTCTTTCCGGCCTGTAAATCTACAAGTTTACGTTTAACTATCACCAATTTTAACATTCATTCTGCAAGGGTCACAATGAAAATATATAGGTAATTTTATAGGAACATTTTTACACATATATTTCAGAATTTTTAACCCCCTTCTATAGACACCAAACACCACATACTCCGTGAACCATCACCCAGATTAACAAACACAGTGATTGCCTGCCCTAGCAATAATTAAAATCACCATTCTCTATGTATGTATAGTCGAAAACATCGCATGGAACATTCTAGAAGCACCAAGAACGTTAAGTAAACGGGACACACGAACAAATACCCCTTCCGACAGATCTAAACGTAACGTCTAATTAGAACACATTTATTTACTTTTATAACTAACCATTTTGTGTTTTTTGGTGTCATTAGTTTAAATTCACTATTGCTAGTTTTGATAAAACACTATTAGAGTTAGTTACAATAGTTATTTTCATACATAAATGAAGTTGTAATTACATTAAAGTTGACATTTTTGCCTTGCTCGAATGGTTTCGTGTTAAAACCGAGTCCTTTAAAACGCATTGTGACCAATTTCTTCACGAATATAGTAATTATCTGCTAATATTTTATCAAAACTAACATCAAAAGACATCAAAAGCACAGTCCAGAAATTCGTTATCGGTACAAGAGATCAACGCGCGGCCCGTGCCGCCTCTCCGCATTAAGGTATACTAAGTCCTGTCTACTAAATAATATATAAACGTTATTTATAACATAAACTATTAAACCGTTTATCACTAACATACGTGTTCGTGCAATGTAGTAGGTATATACAGCTTATAATAAGATTCTTAAGCAGTTTCTTTTTGAATAATAAAATAACAGTAAGTTTTACCTACTTTTTTCAATTCGTAGTATATTTAAAATTAGTTTTCTCCGCATCCTATCACATTGCACGCACACATATTAATAAATTGCAGCGAACGCTTAGCGTCCACGTGTAATATTCAACAAAACAAAAAACCGCGTAACACGATTCACACATCCACACTAGAATTATTTAAGAACGATTTAAAACTAACTTTTTATTTAGCACATTAAGGTATAAAGTCCTTGTTTATTGGTTAACGACACCCAGTTTTGTAGTCTTGTGTAGGACAGGGGCGGATTCAATATCGAGTGATAGTCGACGCTTTTTTTTATGACCAGTCTCAATAACATACTTGTCAGTAGAATATACTACTGTACTAAAAGTACAGATACAGTTTAATTTTAATAAAATATCTTCTAAGAATGTATCTTTAAACGAACCGTTTTTGTATTTTTGACAATAATTGACGTGAAACACTAACAGCCCTCTTATACAAAGACGTTAAATACGTATTTAACTGTTGTAGCAAACCCCAATTCTTCATATAGTAGCAAAATCTACCAACAGGTAACTTATTGAGACCAATCTATAGTCGACAATAAAACAATTTCCCGCGTAATCCGTCCTACAATCCGGCCCTGGCAGTCAAGTAGTCGTATGTATTCTACCGCGAGAGAGTGAGCAGAGTGATGGGCAGCTCACCGGAGTCCCAGTGCGCGTCGGGCTCGGCGTCGTCCGGCTCGCTGCAACACGACGACGACGACGACACCGCCGGGGACTCGCGCGCCGGGTGCCCGCTGAATGTTGACGACATCGGCATCTTCTGTACTATTAGCTCCACCTGGAAATATTGTGGAAGGTTAAGTATAATTCGTTGTTACAAAAGCAAAGTTATGTACTTTTATTTGTAAGAAAAAACGACGGCGACGTAAATTCGTCTTACGACCGATGATGTCGATTATAACATAAATATTAATAATATGTTTATTGTCTAAGGTGGCTAGATGGGAAAACAGATCGTAAAGGAATTTTTACCCCAATTAAGGAACAATAAGCCAGGTTATGAGGACCCTGAATTATAAAAACCGTCAGTAATGTTACCTTGAAGTCTGGACTATAGTGTTTATGTTGCTTGTCCTTGTGCGCCTCGTCCAACTGCCACTTATTTAACGTCAGCTTGAAAGCCTCCAAGTTTGGACCTGAAACAGTTACAATGACGTGTCAACTTCTAAAAAATACCCCAAACTATGATACAGAACAATAATTTACGGTGGTCCCTAGGTTTAAAATAGAAGTTCCTTAACATTTCGAATTGGAAGGCACAAGACGTGGCTTTCAACGTGAATTCTAGTACAAATACATATCAGAACTACAGACAGACAGAATAATGGGAAGAAGAAGAAGTAAGTTTGCAACCATTTGGTAGAATAAATATTGATTAAAACAGGCATACTAACTATCATCTAACGCGGGCACTCGTTCAGCGCCGACTCCGGCAGCCACGAAGAAGGTATTGAACCAGAAATGGAAGAGTTTCTCCTTGCGCATCTTCATCTTGGGCTTGTTGTAGACGTCGACGCGCACGTCCCCGTACAGCGGCGTGCAGTGAGTCAGGTACACGCGGATACTGCCCTCGTCTTTGCGGACCTCGTGGCAGCCTGATGGCGTCTGCAAGTGGAATCAGAACTTTGGAGATACTGTAGGTGGGGATATTGTCATATGTTTTGATGTATAAGGATTGAACACTGAATCGATAGTCAATTTGTTGTTCAATAAATGTTCTTTCTAGATATTATTTTTACTATTAATTACCAAAATTCTGAGGACAAAAGATATTCTACGATAAGAAAACAGTATTACATCGAGGAAATTAAAATTAGCGTGTAGAATCATTGAACAAACCGTATTATTGGGTAAATCGAGATTTTATATTCTCAAGTCCAACAGAAAACTGGTGTCTGTATCCAATTAATTACAAGACTTTATGTCAAGTACCCGCAATCACTATGGCAGTATGGACTCATTGATAAATTACTTTTTTAAATAAAAAAAAACGTGGCCCCACACTGGGATTTTCTCAAGTGTCGTGGGTGTGTTTACAAACATACAAGTTCACATACAAATGACATCCAGACCTGGAACAACAATCTGTGGATCACACAAAGACCGTTGTTCCGTGCTGGTATCGATCCCGCGACACGTTGCACTCAGTTGCCCAGCCACCGCGACAACCGTGCAGTTTTCTATATACATAGTTCAGTATCTATAATAAACCGCCGTTTAGGTCCATGTACCTTGAAGGAAGGCTGTGCCTGTGAGACGGTGAGCTCGGGCGAGCAGGTGCCGCCGTTGAGCGTGGGCGGCGGCGACATGACCAGCTCGCGGATGTGCACGCGCGTGGCCGAGTACTGCAGCCCCGACGTCACCAGCGCCGCGTAGTACTCCACGTAGCGGCGCTGCGACGGAATCGTCACGCCTGGAAACATAAACGTCATAATTTAGTTTAACATCATTATTAGTCGGATAACCTCCCACTTAAGGAGAGTAGGGAGGTTGCCTTAGCTTTCATTCGTGGCTAGTTTGGAGACCACAAGTATGTTACCGAAAGTTTAGAAAACGCTACTGTCTGTTCCCCCGTCCCGACTGTCTCGTTAGCCGAGTGGTCGCAAGTACGACTGCCGGGCAAGGGTTCTCGGGTTCGATGCCCGAGTCGGGCAAAGTATTACTAGGTTTTTCTCAGTGGTAGCACGGAGTCTGGAACTATGCCCAGTATATGGCAATAGGCACGCCCCTTATTTCATGGGACTCATAACATAGTGAAAAGTTGGTGTTTACATTGTACAGTGGCATTAAGTGCCGTAATGTGCACACCTCTGTCTAGCCGTTCGTGGATAAAAGGCGTGATGTTATGTTCCCCGGTGACCGGTCGTTTTTTAAGACATACTACTTTCGTTCTCACGTTTTTGTATCTTGCATTGGCTTATAAAATAAGCATTTTGTGTTTATTTTTTGTGAATCTTATAGAGACATGCGGCGTCAAACATTTTAAACCAGCTCCCTGAGCACTGGCTTCCTGCACAGATAACTACCACCAGTGTGTTTATGGGTAACCTGAAAAATATTTTTATAGACCACTATTGGAGAACACCTTACAAACAACACAATCACTCTTCGTCACTTATATTTAAGAGATTAATTTTGCCAAACGTAGCATTACTAAAATGGCAACTTAATGATCATACGTAAAGAAACCTTGACCTTATTGGAATGTGTTCCTCTACTCTATCCAGGGTTATCACAACAGAGCTCGTGCGGAAACCAAAATTAAACCAGACCGCGCTGATAAACTGTAACATTTAATTTTTTATATCGAGCCACTGCCCTCATAATATTTCAAAATTTTAATTTTCATTCCCAAGAGGCATTATTTTGTTTGTATGTATGAATATTACTTTCTATCATGGTATAATAATATAACTATTCCATTTAGAAATTGGCAACAACTGTAGAGTTCTGATTTATGCATGACATTGTCCTAAAAGGTCCTAAACATAATGAAAAATCACCGTATGAAGTTCCAATAAATATATTAAAACTCTTATTTTTTGGCAATCAAAAGTAGAAACGAGGTTGTTTTTAGTGAGTAAGAGTTTGACACACCCTCTCGATTCACCCAGGCGGAAGAAGTAATTTGATGATTATCACTCCTCAAATTTTTTTAATAATAAACCAGTAATCAAATTTTCATATTAAATTATACCGCGAACCTGTATCAAAGGTTTACATGCAACCAATAACGCAGAATCATAGCCATAATCAGGGCCGTTTGACATATTACAAGCTTCACAGAATTCGATAGAAGCTTTCCAATGAAATTTAATTTCAATAAGTGACGGCTCTATTTTGTATTAAATTAAATTTTCATTTATTGAAACTTTCCATGGAAAACATGAGCTATATGACGTGGTTAAATACGTATAACTTATATTATAAGTTTAGGGGAATACCTAGGCAATGGGTGGGGAATATAATTTGCATCAAGACTACGTTCAAGGAGAGTGTTTTCCTATATAGATAAAGTGGGGTTTTATATTTATTTGCGGCAGTAGAAAACATATAAAACCACGAAAAATATTCATACGTCATAAAATCCCGTTTAGATGACAAGTTTGTATGAACTAAAATCGAAAAAGTAAAAATAAGTCTTCTAAGCTCTAAAAACAGTCGCAGAGAACCTAACGGGTTACCGGGGCTCCGGCTCGACGTGCAGGAGAAGTAACGGGGTGGTTTTTAGTCAGTAAGAGTCTGACACTCCCTCGAGTATGGTCACCGACTATCTTAACTCGCAAAACGGTTAACCTGCACTCTACAGAGCTTCAGTAACCTTATCGAGAAATTATTTTGTAGTAAGAATATATTAAGAAAAGTTGAAAATCCGATACATTTGTGAGAGAAGCAGAGCAGAGATAATTTACCTACATTAAAGACCGGAGTCATGATATATGCTTAAATATGCGATATAAAAAAGAAACACGATCCCACCACTAGAGTACTAGACACTAAATACACCTATTACTAAGTGTTCAGACAACAGCAGACAGCCTGTAATCGATAACACGTGTTTCATACAAATTATAACAACAATAAAGTGTCATTTGCATAGAAAATGCGCGGTGCCTGCTACAATTATGTCAAAGTTATTGAGGAGAATTGACACGTGCAGTGTGCCTTTATGAAAGTTATCGAGTTCGTTTGGAATAGCCGGCCGGCGGGTTATTAACATGGACGTATTACTTGATGGGATTATTTCATATAGTTACATTTTATTTAGTTTAAAATTCTCATTAGTAGCACGGAGTCTGGAATTGTGCCCGGTATATGGCAATAGGCTCACCCCCTATTACATGGGACTCAACATAAATAGTGAAAAGTGGGTGTTACATTGTACAGTGGCATAATGGGCACCTCTGTCTACCGCGGGGATAAAAATGGCGTGACGTTATATATATTATTTAGATATGTGGAACATTGTCTTGCGTATCTTTTATGCCTCGAAACACTAGGAAAAGGCCTAGTCCCTTTAAAATGGAAGAAAACTAAGCTCACAGAGCTCGGAAGGAAAAGACTGAAGCATGTTTCCAAAAAAAAGGTTAATAAAAAACGCATTCTTATCCTCCGAGCACAAAGCAAAAAAGCCCGTAAAGTTACAAAATACCTTTTTCGTCGTGGGTTCTCTTCGTGCCGTAGAACTTGAGGGCTTCGTCCGCAGACGCTTTCTGTCGGCTGTACAGTAGGTAGCAACACACCATTGTCCCTGTAACACAAAAACATTATATTTTTATACCATGTACTAACAATTTTTCTATACAATTCTTTCCAAATAAAAAAATAGGAACTTTCTTTCCTTTTGATCACGATGTGGGCGTTGCTTGAAACGTTTACAACCGTTAAATTTTACTTGATCGATAGAATTATTTACGACTTTGTTGTAATGTGAAGATCCCAATGGACCAGAGCTCAGAATTGCAACTATAAATATAATATATAGCTGTATTCGTATGTAAATCGTACATTATGTGTCAGTCTGCTTAGATAACATCAGAACCGCACATAAAAAGCTATTCCGAAACTTGTGTGAACATTAACATTTCCATTAAATAATATGTCGATGGAAAATCGAAGTGGTCTAAATAAGCGAGGTTTGTGGTACAAACACGGCTCATTTCACGTCCACACAGCAATCCTATACTTTTTATATCCCTTCGGGGCAGCCCACAAAAAAAGGAGGCGGTTTGAAAAGGACCTTTTTTTAATTTACGACTTCGGCGTGAAAGCCGGTACGGTGGTAATACGACCAATTATGGCGTGTAAAGAAATTTCGCAATTACGCCTTTGAGGTTTCGTCTCATTTTTGTTCGTGCAACAATGCCGGCCCGGCCATCCGTTCTATAGGCAATAACGTGGCACGTGTAATTTGTTGCTTTAACCTTTGTTACCGAAAACGTTCTGGGACCTATTATGCTAACTTTTATCTGTCTGGAATGATATTAGTACGTAATAATTTATTCTTTTGATATTTTAATGTGCGATGTAGCGATACACATTAACAAATGGAGTGCACGCAAAAAGGTCACGTTTGTCGACGAATAATGGAGCTATTGCTGAATGCTAAAATTGGGCATCAACCCCTTTGGAGTTTTTGCTTGTAACTTTATTGCGTGGACTGGCGAAAGTGTCAACTTAATGTTGGGACCCGCTGCAGGGCTTCTTTGTCGGTGTTGAGGGAAGGATGCCATTTATAGTTGCACAAAACGACTTTTACGATTCGAGTCAAAAGGAATAGTAAAAAATTGTTTCACACGGGCCACCTGGCTGATGCAACTTTCTTCGCTTTGATAACGTTTTGAATTATCCTGAAGAAATAACCAAATGATATAGATTCTTACCCGTCCGTCCCTTGCCCGCTTTACAATGCACGGCGGCGACATTTTTGGAGTCAGCAGACAGCCAGTTGTGGACATCTTCACAAAATGGCTGTATCAACTCAATATTCGGCGGCGTGTGGTCTTCTAACGCGTACCGCGCCACCTGCAATTATGAATAATAGGCATTATAAATCAAATAGAGTTACGTCGTACAGCTATTCTTTTACCTTTTTGTTAAGGAAATGCATTCCATTTTATTGAAGAAGACTACCTAACATTTGAAACGTGTATGCGGATGAAACCGCGAAGTATAGTTAGAATTTACTAGTAATAGAAACTGCAGACGGTTATAAAAAATAGCTTTAAGAATATTTTCTAATGACTACGATATATCCTCACGATTGTTTGACAAAAGTTGAAAGACTTGTCCGGTGTTGGTCAGGTTCTGATGACGAAAGACTTGGTAAGCTGATACAGCAGACTCGATGTAGACGGACGGACGGATTAGATGTACGCGGTCGGTATGTCGCATATGTTGAAGGAATTCAGGAAAAGTTCCGTTGATATTGCCACTGGTGATTAAAAAAACAACGTATTGTAACCTTTTACTTTGATCTAGGAGAGACAGAACGCCGGTACACGATCCACATGATGGACTGTTAGGTTTTCGATATTTGAAATTGTTGCTAGCCCATTTTTATAATGGGTTTGATGGGACTAATAATATAGCTGACGAAAACTGAACGTATTAGATAATTTGGAATAGACAAGACACGCCTCTTTTCAAGCAATAGACGTACTGTAGATTGTTTTAGTAGTTATGTTTAATTGTTTATGTTCAAGTATGTTTGGCAAAAGTGTATATAAAATGTATGACATGTATGTCATCATCGTAGGAATGCTATGTTACGTTTCTTTCGATCAGGTCGACATTATTGAGTAGGTGTTTGCGTTGGCAGACAGTATTATCGGTTGATAAAACCATTTCCCGTTCTATCCCAAGCCTACTAGTACCTAAAGAAACAAGCCAACATTTTGTTAAAAGCAATCCAAAGACATGTTAAACACGATTTAGTTGAGAGAACTTTACCAATGTTTCTTTTTTTGAACAAAGAATTTGAAATATTTCAGAACTTTGGACACTTTATTAATGTTGTGGTGCTTAAGCTTGTCATATGGGAAGCGTGCTTGGAACGCCTCCAAAATTTCAAATAATCTGCATGCAATGAATTTTTATTTATTACACGAATAACCTGTACTGATATCATTTAGAGAAAGGGCTATTCTCGGATATTTTGTTTATAATTTAATTTATAATTCGGTTGTTTGTTTGTTTCTTTGATATTTCTTTAGATAAATTGGCTTTTTGACCTTGATCTTGCGACTTGTGACGTAGAGGTGGATAAAGTTGATCGTTTACGTGGGAATAGGCCATATTGCTTACACTATTTCTCGCCAGTCATGTTTCAAATCTACACGAAGGAGATCTACGGCGTATACCAGTTAAAATTTCAGAATCTGTGCTAGGTACAGCTAGTAGATAATTTCTAGAACAAAATGAGCTTAACACGCAAGACCTTCTCTATATCAACACGTCTATGAACATTATCATTCTTTACTCAAACGGTACAAAAGCAAAGCACTTAAAAAATTGGGACCATTACAGTACAGATAATCACAGTGTAAACATTGACACAGATGATTTTATCCAAACAAACATCTTAAGAACTCTGCCTACCCCTTTAGCGGAGATTGGATGCATAAATAAAGCCTTTTAGAGTGGTCTCGTCATTTGAGACCATTAGTAATAGTGCTAATAGCAATTATTTCTCTCGCGTATGGCTTCCTTGACGTACAAAGGGTGGACAATACAAGATCTTTCTTGCTAGAAACTATTGTTCCTTTATATCATGTCTATAGATACATAATAGATAGTAGAGTATGTATACTGTATATATTAGTCCCTATTACTTAGTATTTTGACAATTGTCCAATACCAATACTCTCAAATTCAAGGAAAATAAATATTACGAAAAGAAAAATTCGCTTTACGTTTCGGTATAAATAAAAGGGTTTTGTTTTGCCTAAATTAAACAATAACAGTACAGAGATATAATCAAATCAATGACTGATAGAAGATAGTCACCAAAAGATAAGACAACATTAGAAATCTTGATCTCGGTAATTAACAAAGTAATTTGCATAAAAATCATTTGTTATAAAAATAATCTAAAACGTACTTAAAATTCAAGGTAGTATCAACAAACCCACTTATTAATTGATATCTAATTTAAAATCGCTAGATTGATGAAATAGCTACGTCGATTTCAATATTGCCGAATGCCTAATAATTTCAGGAACTCTGGACGGTATTGCATCAGGGTAACACAATTCAGATTAAATTCCACACCAACAATTTAATCATTAAATACCTTATTAATTATGGGAGCATCCTATTATGATAATATTATGAATAATGTTACTAAGATGGGGATTAATGCGAATTCTATTCAAATGTATTCATCAAAATCAATGAAACTTCGTTGTAATATGAAGCAAAACATAAAGTTTTGTGATAATTCTAGACTAGATCTCTACCAAGCACTGGAAAATTTTCACTTGAAATTTGAATTAGAAGATTATGAATTGAATCATTCTATACCTAGGACCAGAGTTATAGTAAAGACCAAAACAGCAGTCAAATAACAATGTACGGTTGTTACTGAATAATAACAATTTGTGATTGTTAGAAACCAATAACAAAGGTCATTGACCCAGTTTTCTATCTACTCAAAAAATCGACATTTCGGTACAAATTCGTAATCCTATTTTGGCAATAATGGGAGACCAGCGTCAGGACCAGGGCTCATGACGCTGTTACTAATAGATAAATGACTACATTCTGTTTTCCTTCCATACTTAAATCATTATGGTAATACTGACAATTGATAAATGTGACAAGGAAAATGGGTCGCCCATGACGTCAGACAGTGTTGCACGCGATATTTTTCTAATATTATACAATACATATTAGCTCGTAGCATTTTTATTCTGTTACAAAAGGTGAATGTATGAATTGATAACCTAGATTTGTCAGCTTAGTCTGTCCGGTGAATTGTTTTGATTTAATTTTGAAAAGAAAGAGTGTTATTGTCTTTTATGTAGTACCTGTACATGTTAGTAATAAATAATCCTAACGACAAATGCAATACGCCTTGCTTGAGTCCCTTAACTCGTTGAGTACCGTCATTATAGACACAATTAAAGAACAATAGGTTGCGGTCACCGGTGATCGCTTGGTGTTTGACAGTTTAAAAATTAAAGTACCTACGTAGTGTTGAGTGTACAAGTCGTTTTATTCAAAGTAGTCTAAAAAGCACAAGTCCCGATAACAGTATCCAGGCACACAAGTTATCGGTAGCTAGAATAAGTAATACGGAACCTTGGCTCAAGAAATATGACGACATGTTGCGACACAAACGTGCCCTGGACCTTGATTCACGATTCTTTAACTAGTATCAATGTACCTTATATAATACGCAACAATAACTATTTTTGAATAACGACTAATACTATTGAACAATCTTAGCACTACAATAAGTAATTGTCTAATAGAAATACAATTATGTATATTTACATGTATGATATTCTGCAAACAATAGTCGAAACGAAGAAGGAAGTAGTTATCATAATCGTACTGATTGCAAGCCACACCCACTGATATTAATGGCGTGAAGATAGGCCACGTTTAGACTTCGATATGAATTATCAAGCTAGAGTCCAAAGAGGTTATTATCTATTAACATTATCAGTGAAATTGTGTGTTACATAAGGTACTTAATTTAAATGACGTAATTATATTATTTTAATGTATGTAGTTGATGTTTTAGCGCTGTATAAACTATGAAGATAATAAATTAAGCTAGCTTTAGAAGTTTAGTTTCAAATGGCAAGACTGAGCATTTGTTTTGATGTTTAGGAACATGCTCAAGTCTTAAGTCGTACGATAAGACCACGCCTTCGTGTCGTTTCAGTGTGCTTAGCCGTCGTGTAGTCCTATAGTCGATGTGCTAAGTCCATAAGTAGCCTGTAAACTTCTTGTACGACTATAATGGCACCTTCTGAACGCTGTCCAACAAACTGTACTAGTCCGCTAGGCACACACACACCCGCTAGCAACAACTCTATTTCGGGCAAAGTTCTATAAAAAGCTTCCTCATAAATCAGAGTAAAAAATCTTTATATTTTTTCGACACAAAACCAAGTTATTAATATTTTCACCGTTACTAGGCCACCATTATAAATGGATAATATATGGATATTATTTTTTCATTCTACTCAAGGAAATTGACAACTAGATTAGTTCTGTATCTAATAATCGTTATAACATCGGCGTAACGCATTATCGAAACTATAAAGATGCAAAATTACAGTATCATTATATATAAATTATGATAATTTTATTATAAGCACGCAATCAACGTTGAGCAATACCATAATATACTTGAATCAAAAATGAAAATAGCATAAACTTAAATAAATATCATTTAAATTGTCTTACTTAAATTTTCGGAAACCAGATTTCGTGAACATTTTCATAGTGAACTAAACTAATTAAAATGTATATGTATAGATTCTACAACATTTTAAAACAGTACTACGAAAACAAACACAAATTATTATGAAAATATAAACCCCTTTAATGGCTATTTAATTATGAAATTAAATAAAACTTCTATTTCCTATTTATTTCCACAACATAGGATAATTGCAAGCGCTTTGTCAAACACAAAGCACTAATTATAGCCTATTATAGACTCACAATCGGTCTACAAATAAATAAATATGGCGCTGAAAATCAATATTTTCCATACAGTCAACCTCATGCCACTTTTAAGCCAATCGTTGTAAATTATAGCAAAAATTGTCCCGACGAATTATTTATCTATAATATATGTGTATAAAGATTAAAAAGAAAGTATACATGTATAATATAGCACCGATATCAGTCGGTATATGACCTGAACATTATTCTTATTATTTGAGACGATAAAAGATAAAATATGTTTCGATAAAATAATGTAAGTGACACAAATAGAGCATGACCCACACAATATATTGGCGTGGAACTGTAGACAGACGAATATTTTAATAAAAACTACA